TCCTCCTCCTCCTCCTCCTCCTCTGTCTAACATTATCCTGATGGATCACTGACCTTGCAATATGTATTTGAGGGCATCCACAAATAATTTCTCCTGGGTGCTCCATTTTTTAGAAATGCACAATTTCTGCCTAAACTGTTTGAAATTAGCCAAGCGAAAAAGAAAGAAAAAAAGGAAGGAAGGAAGGAAAAAGAAAGAGGGAAGGATAGAGAGAGAAAGAAAGGGAAAGGAAAGGGAAAGGAAGAAAGCCTTAACTGGCATAGCTGGAATTGCACCCAGGCAGGGAAGGGCGATGTAGTGTATAAATAGTAAGATTTGAGGAAGTCCCAATCCTGACCCATCCTGGAAGTCAGATGTGTTACTTTGCTGGAGGGTGTTTTGATTGGATTCAGAATTTGGGGGGCTCTGGCCAACCTTGTCTGGGCTCCAAAGCTCAGGATGGTCTATCGTGGTTAAGACTCAAGGCGTTGGAAAACCCATGTTGAGTGAAAGCGAAGTTGTGACCTTCATATTTGGCCAAGAAAACTGTGTCAAACATCAACAGTTGATATTAACCAGATCTTTTCTCTGGTCTTTTAACTGGCCTCCTTGCATTGTTGTCATGATTAAATGATGCATCTCTCTGTCTCTCTCTCTCTCAATCTCTCTCTCTCTCCTCTGTCTGTTTGTCTCTCTCTCTCTCTCTCTCAATAACTCTCTCTTAATGTCTCTCTCTCAATGTCTCTCTCTCTCTTCTCTCTCTCGCTGTCTCTCCCTTTCTCAATGTCTCTGTCTCTCTCCTCTCTCTCTCTTTATCTCTCTCTCAATATATCTCTCAATATCTCTCTCTCTCTTCTCTCTCTCTTCTCTCTCTCTTTCTCTCTCTCTCTCTGCCTTTCTCTCTCCCCCTCAATGTCTCTCTGTCTCTCTTTTCTCTCTCAATGTCTCTGTCTTTCTCTCTCTCTCAATGTCGCTCTCTCTCTTCTCTCTGTCTGCTCTCTCTGCCTTTCTCTCTCTCTCTCTCTCTCTCGTCTCTCTCTCAATCTCTCTCTCTCTCCTCTGTCTGTCTCTCTCTCTTTCTCTCTCTCTCTCAACATCTCTCTCTCAATGTCTCTCTTCTCTCTCTCTGTCTCTCCCTTTCTCAATGTATCTGTCTCTCCTCTCTCTCTATTTATCTCTCTCTCAATATCTCTCTCAATATCTCTTTCTCTTCTCTCTCTCTTTGTGTTTCTCTCTCTCTCTCAATCTCTCTCTCTCTCCTCTGTCTGTCTCTCTCTCTTTCTCTCTCTCTCTCAACATCTCTCTCTCAATGTCTCTCTTCTCTCTCTCTGTCTCTCCCTTTCTCAATGTATCTGTCTCTCCTCTCTCTCTATTTATCTCTCTCTCAATATCTCTCTCAATATCTCTTTCTCTTCTCTCTCTCTTTGTCTTTCTCTCTCTCTCTCAATCTCTCTCTCTCTCCTCTGTCTGTCTCTCTCTCTGCCTTTCTCTCTCTCAATGTCTCTCTCTTCTCTCTCAATGTCTCTCTCTCTTCTCGCTCTCTTTCTCTCTCTCTCTCTCCCAATGTCTCTCTGTCTATCTTTTCTCTCTGTCTCTCTCTGTCTTTCTCTCTCTCTCTCTCTCTCTCTCTCTCCCAATGTCTCTCTGTCTATCTTTTCTCTCTGTCTCTCTCTGTCTTTCTCTCTCTCTCTCTCTCCCTCTTCTCTCTGTGTGTCTTTTTCTTTCTCTCTGTCTCTGTTTCTCTCTCTCTCAATCAATCTCTCTCTCTGTCTCTCTCTCTCTCTCTCTTCTCTCTGTGTGTCTTTTTCTTTCTCTCTGTCTCTGTTTCTCTCTCTCTCAATCAATCTCTCTCTCTGTCTCTCTCTCTCTCTCTCTTCTCTCTGTGTGTCTTTTTCTTTCTCTCTGTCTCTGTTTCTCTCTCTCTCAATCAATCTCTCTCTCTGTCTCTCTCTCTCTCTCTCTTCT